ACCGTCAGGAAGCTCTCTGCAGCCCTTCAGCCCTGGAGAGCTGGCAGATGACGGCACATTTCACTAAAAAGCACCTCCAACGTCTCTATTTGATGGCACACTGTGTGCTCGCCACTGATGGTGAAGTGAAAAGATGAATTGGCCAATTGTTTCATTTGACTAGTTCAATGGACGTGAAAGGATAACAACATGGAATGAAAAGGGGGCACATTTGATGTATTAGAAGTTCAATGGTGAAAGTGTGGGGTGTGGGGTGCAGTAACAACAGGGCTACAAATGGAGAGCACTTATGTGCATGGGGTATCAGAGGGCACTGAACGCAATATAGGAATCACTAGAGGTTATAAAAGAGATTTGAGATGTCGAATCAAATGATCCTAATGTATTTGACTCGGCTGCTTGCAGGGGGATACCAACAGAGACGTTTGCATTTAAAGTGAAACGTCAGTGGAATGTGAATATTACATTTAAATATAGTAATTACCTTTAGTGCATTGAATGGCATGGTTCCAGCTAAGCATACACATATTTGTTATGGAGCTTTTTTCTATGTCTTTAAAAAGAAATGTCATTGTTTTCCCAAGAGAATGACATTCTAAATCATAAAACAAGTACGCATTTTAACCTGTTTTCTAGGAAAGGGTTTGGCATGGAGTCTAAATGTGACTCATTTGATATGTTTATTTTTGGAAAGATCTGTTTACCACATTTCACACAAAGTGTAAAAATGCTGCTAAAAATGAAATAGCTGACAAGACGATGATGCCATTTGTTGATGGTTACCCCAGATGTTCACAGGATCCCGGTAGAGGAAGCAGCTTTGCATGTTGTTTAGTAAAGCTTTTAAACTCATCATAAACTCTATCACCACCCATTCCTGACCTTTCATCGGAAGGTGCCGTGCTGAGGCCGCTTTATCTTGTCTACCTGCGGAATGCCGGAGCTTTGGCCCCCAGCCGGCAGGAGGGTGTTTATCACAGTCTCTGTCAGAGGAAGAGGAGGGGGGGGGGCTGAACTGCGACAGCAACTCCGCGGTGCTTTAAGCCTGTGAGTCATCGCTGGAGGGTTTAACTCTTTGTGTGCCATGACAAGGGTGGAAGTGAAAACTGCATATTGTTTTACACCTGGATGCTCAAAAGTGCTTTCTCTCTGTCACTGTGAAAGGTTATTTGTTGGTATACATTTGGAAAACATTTTTAATATGATATTGTCTCGTAAATCTGTGGCACGATTGTGCATGTTTACATAAATTGTAAATAAAAAGGGAACTTTTCCCCTTGTGAAAAGGTCTTATTTTAATCAAATATCTTCATGCAAAGTTTGCATGAATGAGAATCCACATAAACATATCACTATTTGTGAGACACAGCAGTCCTGAAATCATAGCATCTACTCCCAGTCTTACAAAGATAGTATCTGCAGTCAATTGCTTCTAGAAAGTGGTGCAACAGACAGCAGAAAACTATTTTTATACGCAGCTAGCTTTTGGTATGCCATATAATAAACCTGAATCATTCATGTCAATTTTGTTAGGGCCGGCTATTGCGTGTGTTGTGTGATGACGCGGTGGTCAGGTGTTGCCTCTTATACGAGGGGAGCTATCCAAGTGCTGAACCAGAAGAAAACAGCACCGCTCCCGAGGAGATGCCATACACCTTCACCGCTGTCTGAGCTTCATTACCAAAGGTAAGACACATTTTCTTTACGTCTTTAATATTATTTCAGTTCAAATTAATAGCTAAATGTTTTACACTAAAGACACTGGTGTAAATCACATGCGCGTTTCGCCGTTCTCGGAAAAAGTCACGATTTGGATTTTCTATGTGATCAACAAACATTCTCATCAATTGACAATCACAATGTGAGGTTATTGTTTTTGCAACTATAGTGAAATAACGAGGAATGAGAGATGTTTTAGTAAAAAATGATTGTGATGTTATGGAGAATCAGATGCTGAGGTTGCCCATAACAACGCAGTGAATGACTCATCCAGTGATGTGAATGTATCTCCTCGCGCAAATCCATGATAAAAACAGACTCGCGCACATTTATGCACGTTGCTTTTTTGGTAGGTTTTTGGCCAGAAAAATGTTGTTTAAAAACATTTTTCAATTATTTGACTGACGTTTTATACCCTCTTGTTTGCAGGAAACAAATTGCCTACAATGCTGCATTTCCACCACAAGTTGCCCGCGGGGGGAGCCGTGGTCCTGCTCGCCTTCCTGCTCCATGGATGCACCGTGCAGGCTGCGTCTCTCCCCCGCCACTACAGGCTCCGGGGCGGGGAGAGTGAGGCACAGCCGGCTGCCTACCCACCCGGCTCCGACATGATGAAAGCCCTGGAATACATTGAGAATCTGAAGCAGCGCAACGGGGGCAGAGCTGAACCCGCGGATTACGACGAAGTGGAAAAGTTCAGGGTCCTGCTTCAGCTCGCCTCGCAGCAGGAGGAGAGTCCCGGGGACCGTCAGCCAGCCCCCGGCAAGCAGAGGCAGGACATTACCGCTGAGCAGCTGATGAAAGCCCTGCTCAGCTCTCTCCAGGATCGGGCTGGAAAAGACGCGAAGCCCGCTCCCGTGTCGGCGCCCCGGAACGACCGCCGTACGCACAGGCACCGCACCAAAGAAACGGAAGTTCCGCAGAGCCCACCGTCAGAATTCGGTAATTTCCCCAGACCCCACAAGAAATACCCGCTGATGTTTGAAGACGAGGAGGACACAGACGCTTCCAAGCGGGCCACGGAGGACCTGGATGAGCAGTACACCCCCCAGAGCCTCGCCAACTTACGCTCCATCTTCGAAGAGCTTGGGAGGATGCCCACGATCGGGGGACAGAAGAGAGACGTGTTCGGGGACGACGATGACGAAGAGGGGGACGGGTTCAGTCTGAGAAGCCAGGCGTACGAGGATGTGGCCGGGGGAGAGGAGTGGGTCCCCGTGGAGGAGAGGGAGGAGACGGAGGAAATGGAGAACGGGAGCCACGAAGAGATGGAAAGGGCGATCGGCGAGCAGGAGGAAGCAGACAGGGAGGAGATGCAACGCCGGGCGAACCAGAACCAAGAGGAGGGGGATGACGACACTAAGATGGTAGACTACTACCTCTTGAAAGTGCTGGAGATGAGCGACCAAACGCAGAAGAGGGAAGGGACCGGAGAGCAGAGAAAGAGACTGATCCGTCCCTCCATAGTAGATCCTCGGACTTTGAGGGAGTTGCTCCAGCTCTCTCTGAAGCTCCACATCCCTCCCCAGGACCTTATCGACATGCTGCTCACTGAGGAGCTCAGGAAGCTGCACCGGGAGCCCCCAGCCTCCTCTCGCTTCCCCACCGGACAGACCCCAAAGATCAGGTACTACAGCCGTAGACTGCCGGTGAAGAGCAAGCCCGTCCACGAGGACATGGACAGAGAGGACTTTTTGGACATCATCGGAGTGGAGACTATCAGTAACGAGTATCCCCTGGTGCAGAGACCCATGAAAACACCCCCACCCGCAGAAAGAATCCCATTGGCGTCCATTCCTGTTGCAAAACAAGTTCCGGTTAAAATTCCTACCCCCTCCGGGCGCCGGGAGAACCTCTTCTTGTCAGAGCTCAACAAAATGCCGCTGAAACGTCAGTCTGATGTCACTGATGATGAAGATGATGAAGGTGGCGATGTTGAAGACGAGGTGACCACATACCTGGCGGCCAAAATCCTCACAGAGTACCCCAACCCCATCTCCAAACGGGACACCCAAGCGCAGCTGAAGGGACAGTTCCCCTTCGACCTTTACGAGAGGGTCATGAAGAACTACTTGGGGCAAGCGGACACTGATCTGAGGCCAGTGGTCAAGAGGGACATCGACGGGGGCCCAGAGGAAAAAATTGAGCCCACAGAGATGCAGGGGGACGAGGAGATAGCGGCCAAAACCTCGGCTCCACAGACCGTAAATGAAGAGGAGCACCGTGAAAAAACTGCGGCTGGGATGTAGCCTGATGCCCTGCAAGACGCACGAAAGGATCAATATAGTATTTATAATGTCAAAAAAAAAAGTTTGGTGGACGTGATCTAGTTTACACATTTATATTATAGCTGGTATTACTAATATCACCCAAACGAAAATGAACTATAGCAATCTTACAGGTCCAAAACATTTTTAAAATATATACTAGTCCCTACTTGCTGCAGGAACATTGTAAAAATATTATAACGGTATCAGACGATTAAAGGTGCAATCCGTGCATAAATGAGAAAAAAAGGTTATCCTTAAAACACTTATGTTTTTTTGTCATTCTTAAATTGCCAATTAAAACATTGACTAATATTAAATCACAATGAAATCCAAGTTATTCACGTTTTGTGATGTTGTAAAAGCTTTGTTTACATTAAGGTGTTTGTAAACAGGCCTATATTTTCAATTATAATCAACTGAGTAATGGTAAAAAACGCTTATTTTTCATCCATTTCAAAATATTCAATTACATATTTGAATATATCTGTAAATTATAAAGTATAATGCTGACTCGGCCTTAACACATGCATACAGTATAATGACAGAAGTACTATAGGAACATTATGTGCCGCGCTGAGAACGAGTGTTGTTGTGCCTCGTGATATAATCAGGGTTAGTGAATTCAATGTTATTATTATGGATAATTATTTTCAAGTCTAAATATCAGACCGTCGCCTGCCTTCCAACCCTTTCATACTGCGAAGCTCTGTATTGTTGGCCTACCAGTGGTTGTGCTATGTATGCTCATTTTTAAATCATTTTGTACATGTTCAATAATGTGTGATGAATCACAGATGAATAAAGCATCAGATGTATTATTTTTCTTCTTGCTGAGTTGTGTTGCCTTATTAAAAACACACCATACACAAACAGCCAGGTTTACAATCAGATGGGGACATTTGTTTAAGGTAAATCTCTTTTTTTATAATGTTGATCCTTTGGTAAAAACTAAAATCAAAGAGGCTAAAGGAACTTCATATGGTAAATAAAACATCAAAGCAAACTGCTTATCAAAATACATATTTTTATTTTAAGCTCCAACATCAGAAATTGCACATGGTAAAAAAGTGATATTCAGTGACTCCTTTGAAAGACCAATGGTCCCACCAATGTGGAATAGGCAGATTAAAAATAGTAAGACATCTATCATCATCAGTCTCACTACAATTTATTGAAATCGGTTGTTTTGGAGACTGAAATGATTATTATTTTGTATTATAATATTATATTATATTCACCGTGGACGGAGATTACGAAATGTTTTCCCCAAATTAATCGGCAGTGTTTTAAGAATACAATGACTCACTTCCAATATATTAATACATGACTTAAATAATAATCCACTCATTCAGAAATCTAAAATATATATTTTTTTTACATCCCAGATCCTTTTTTCTACTTCATTAACATTTTGAAAACAGCAATCAATGTGAAAACAACCCTCCCCCTTCCTACAATTTAGCGCATGACTCTAAACAAATATTAGACTTGAATGCAGTTACATTGCAGCCAAGGTCGAGGCAGGAGCAGACATTCAGTATGCCAGTGTTCAAAATGTTCATTAAAATCAAAGTAAACTCGATATCCATATTCTGAAACTTCTTCGATTCATATACAGTACATGTTCTTCCTGTATTCCTCCCCGCTCTTCCTATAGTCCTTTTGCCCACAGGTTAAAATGCAGGTTTGCTCATGTACTCCTCCATTGTCTAGAAAAAAAGCACAAAGAGTTTAGTTTAACATTCCAGTTTCACGGCTTGTAAAAATCCATTATAGTACAATTAATATTCACAGGCACACATTTACACACCACCTGCTATTAAGTGCCGAGAATACCAACTAACGAAAGCATAACATCTAACCTTTCTGTCCATATTCAAGGTCATCCAAAGAGCTCCACCTCAAACCACTCACTGCTGTCACCCTGAAGCGATAATGGTCAAAATGAATGAGAGGCTACACTGCAAACAATCCAACACTTGATTAAAAAAGTGTTAGTCAGCCCTACTCAGAAGCAGAAACAACACACCCAGTTAACTACAGTACCACACGGAGCCATGACCCTACAGGGAGAGCGGGAAGCATCAGCCAAACACTAAACCTACGACACGTTCCATGGAAATCTGTCTCTCACTCGCTATAACACTGGCAGAGAGAGAGAGAGATACACACACAGAGGGGTGAGGAAAAACACCAGCACAAACACAAATCTACACAAAAAGGAGCTAATATCCACAAGGCTATAAGCTTTAAGAAAGACGGACACACCAGGGACTCAGCACCACTGTTATGGAACTCATTATGACGCTGACTACTAGCGTGGCAAGTTCAAACACACACACACACACAAACTGAAAAAAGTTCCCATATTGGAGCTTAATTCATGATTAGCGTTATAAATAACTTAAAGCAGGCATCTTGATCCAAGTACCCCACAGGCTAGATTTAATTAAAGATACAATCAACACTAAACTACATTTAAAGCACGTCGCTGTTTCTTTAATGATCACGAGCCATGCAACAGATGTTACATGCTCACACACCACCGATGCAAGCCACGCCATGTGTTGTTGTTGTTGTGGTGTTGTGTATGAGAGTGTGTATCTCACCTCCTGTAACATGTCTGAGGCTTCAATGGAGCGATTCACCATTTGTTTGGAGGTTTCTTGTATTTCGCCTCCCATTAGAAACTCATCCAGGATAAAATAGGCCTTCTCAAAGTTAAAGATTATGTCCAGCTCACACACCTGAGAAGAGGGTATTCACATTATTATAAAAACAATGCAGAATGCACTTAGATACATTTAAAGCTGCTGTTTGATATGATATCTTAAGCCTAATTTAGCAGTTAAAAGGTTCTTGATTTTAGCTAGTATCAAGTTCAACAGTTACACTTTAGGCCACATTTGCATATTCAATAAAAAAAGGGGGAATCATAATCAAATACATTGCCAAAGTATTTGTCCAGCAGCTCCACGTAGCGGTGAATAACCTCCAGGGCTATCAGCTCATTTTCCCCGTTCTCTATAGCCAGGCAGAAATACAAGCTTGCATACCTGAGGAAAAGATGACACAGTGATAACTTGCATCAGATATAAACATAAAGACGATATAAATAACGATTATTTGTATTATCCATTGATCTGCATTACATTTTCTTGATTAATCGGGTAGTGGTTTGGTCAATAGAATGAGAAAATGGCGAGGAATGTCGATCAGTGTTGCCCGAAGCCTGAAATGGCGTCCATAAATGTTGTATTTTGTCCACATCTCAAAAGACACTCAGTTTACTGTCATAGAGTATTGAAGAAAACACTTAATATTACAGCTGGAATTTGGAAATTAGATTTTCTCTTTATTATTTTCCCTTATGTTATTAAAGCTATTAGTGAATACTGTAATACTTGCCAGCTGTTCTATTCATCTTTGAAGCTTTAATATGTGAGGAGTAATGAATAATAATAATACAGCAGGTGTAACTATTAGTACAAATTACCCAAGGGTTCCTGCTGCTCAAAAAGCATACAATAATTTAAAGTAGTTAGACAAACATGCAGGGGCAGCACCCACCTCTTGTAAATAATCTTCAAGTCCTTCCAGTGTAGGAAATTACAGGAGCGTGGTTGCCGTGACAACACCATGGTGGTCATGTCCCTGGTGATCTTCTTCTTTTCACGTTCAGTTATGGGCGTGAACCACTTCTGCAGACGCAGTTTCCCCTGGCGACTGAAGAGGAGCAGGAAACGTATCTGAAAGCACAGACACAGCTCAGGGTCAGAGGGCAGTTGTGATGCACGCATGAACAAAGGGGATTACACGTAGGAACAAAAATGCACACAGTCTTTGCATAGGACATTATTAACTACCTCTAACACAAACCAGGGGACGAACAAGTCATGGCTCATTAAAGAATACCTCCGCTCACCTTACAGTTGGTGAAGGTCAACAACTGTTGCAGGGAGAGGGAGTTTGGAGAGCAACTCACTAAGGTTTTAGATGTTTACAGATTAAGTTTACAAGCATTAGGGCTGCTCGATTATGGCAAAAATCATAATCTCGATTATTTGGGTCAATAATTGATATCACAGTTGATTACCCTGAACTTTAAGTATAACTCAACTGAAAGACCAATAAAAAAAAAAGAATTGAAAAAAAAAAAAGTAATAATAATAATAAAAAGATTATCGTTTTATTTCGATTAAGTTGTTTTCGTAATCGTTGCAAGCCATAATCGTAATTGCGATTAATTGAGCAGCCCTAACAAGCATTGGAAGAGACTTCATTATAATTAAAATGTTCATTATTCTGCCAAATTATCGGAATTACTGACATCTAAATTATTCCCAATCCCAACATAGATTATGTAAAAGAGATTATAGGTATGAAAAGAAGGTTTTGTGTTGCACCTTGCCACTGGTGCTTTATAACTAAAATGAAATATCTGTGCAGAGGGAACATTCCTCAAAGACTCAATAGTGTAGGAATTGTTTCTGAACTCATGTAGAGCAACAAAGCACTGTTCCATCGGACATAAACAATTATAATAAGTCAAAGTTAATAAGAGGAGATGTGAACATTATAAAAGCACACAATACTTCACATGTATTATTAAACTGCAGACACGGTAAAAGGCATTATACAATTGAATCTTATTTAATATATTAGGCTTCCCAACAAGGAGTCCCTGAATTCGACCATTGTTAGAGTTCAATTGAATTACTGTTCATAGTGAAGTGGACACAGAAAGAGAAAAAGCTAGACAGTTATCAGGACTATAATAGGCTACCACATTAAATTATACTAGAATAACAGTAGGCATACTACTAATCTGGTTTTTCCAGATCTGTGTCAGCCCATATGCAAATTGATATGGAAAGCAAGAAACTGCCACCAGGGCTCCACTGAAAGTGACGAAACCTGTTTGAGGGGACCGCTCGAGGAAACACCTTACTTCCGGTTGTGGTTTAAGGTTACTCCAAGCTAAAAAAAACAAACATTAAACCTCACACTACAAAAGGAAAACATCCCCTGTGTTTTGGCCGAACGAAACAAACAATCCTCAATGTGTAACAGGAAGAAGTATATAGGTGTAACTTAGCTTTAGCTACCTGTCAGCGACAACAGGTGCAACAGGTGAGAAGCCTGACGCTATCTTACGGACATGCGTAGAAAACAACCACAAAGCACTTACCATTTTGACGCTGGGACAAGATTCACAAATGATATGAAATGACTTTAAAAAAGCACTTTAACGCTTACAAGGGGTCAACTGGTCCGGCTAAACACATATCTATCTGTCGTTCAGCTCAGTGTGGAAGTTTGTTAACTCCGCCCCCCTGGCCGTGCCTGCTGCACGCGTCACCACACCTGACACCCATCTGGATCGCTTATCGTAGATCTGTGTTACAGGAATGCATCCCGTCCTAACTTTTAAAGATCTACGACCTGATTTGTTCAGATTATTTCGATGAATAAGCTAATAAAACCTTAACTTAATGTATCACTTGGCTGTCACTGTGGCCGCAGAGAGCAGCAAGGCCTCCCTCTGTCTTCTTCATGTGATCCTGATCTGTCACAGTGGCTGACAAGGGGAGCTGACTGCAAACTGCTGCACTTCTTGGGATTATTATTCACTTGATAACATGTCTCTGTACCGAAATTCTATCTGGTTTATGAATGGACTCCAGCAATACACAAGGTCAGTCAAAGCTATTGAGTCTTTTGTAAATGATCTAGAGATATAGAGCTAAAGAAATGTCTGTCTGTCAAACAGTCTAAACTGTTAGTCTTGCTTGTTGGCTGTGTAAATGCAGAATTAATGGTTTGTAAAATGGTTTTCATATATTTTATTCAAGCCAAAAGACTTGCTAAACAGTGTCATATCAAAGGTCTGATCACCGTATGGCACACACTCAAACTAGCCTTTATGCTCAATTACAATAGTCCCATTGACAGCTGATGTTTCTTGAGGATGGCATTCACATCACTTGACTCGACTGAAACTAAAATGTGGAGAAAGGAAAATATGACACACTTTGATTTGTGTTTCTATTTGCTTTTAGGAAGGGATATGAGACAGCATCTAAAGTCTTTGAGCCCCAAGACCTCAATGTGTCGATTGTGGGAAGGTCTTTTATGATCACAGGAGCCAACAGTGGGATCGGCAAGGCAACAGCCATAGCTGTAGCCAAGAAAGGTAAAATACTGGACAGGTAAGCTCTGCCATGCACTTGAATAGAAAATAAACATTAATGTTATTTGTTTCCAGGTGGGACAGTCCACATGGTGTGTAGGAACAGAGATAGAGCAGAAGAGGCCAAGGTGGACATTGTTAGTGAGTCAGGGAACACGGTAAGCGTGCAATGGAGAATGTGGAACAAGTGACACTTTTCGTGATTTATAAAAGACTGATACTAATCTGGTTATTCTAGGAGGTATACATCCATATTGTGGATATGTCAGAGACACGCAAAGTATGGGAGTTTGCAGAGGCCTTTAAGGAGCAGTATCAATCCTTAAATGTGTTGGTTGGTATCTCTTTTAATCATCAGAAATCTGTCTTCATAAACAAAAAATGCTGTTTACGTCTGTTTTGACTTTGTTATTTTTGCTTGACAGATAAACAATGCAGGGTGTATGGTGAACAACAGAGAGATGAATGCTGAGGGCCTGGAGATGAACTTTGCCACCAACACAATGGGTTAGTGTCACTCTGATGTCAAAGAGAGACATTCTGCTGTAAACAAAACCGTTTCAAATTTGAATTTTGTCCATCTCTTAAGGGATGTTGATCCTTACCCAGAGTCTTATACCACTTCTACGAAAGAGCCGGGATCCAAGAGTGGTATAGAACCCGCACTCCCTCACACACACACAAAGTGTTCATCTGCATCATGTGCACAGCATAATGCAACGTTTGTCCAGGCTGTAGTGGCTGTTGTCTGAGCACACTATGCCTCTTTTCTCTGTGGTTGTTAGATCACTGTGTCCTCTGGAGGCATGCTGGTCCAGAAACTCAGAGTCGATGACCTGCAGTCAGAGAAGGGCTACTTTGATGGCGTCATGGTCTACGCCCAGAACAAGGTAGGAGAGTGTAATCCAGGTTTTAAAACGCGTTTTCTGTGTAGTTCTCTCTTCTTCATCTGTCTTGCTGGGTTTGGATTTGTCTGTGTAATATGGTGGAACAGAACAGAAAAAGTCATACAAAAATGGATATTAATTTACAGCAGTAGTGAATAGTGTAGAGGCCCATTTCTAGAATGAAGCAACTATGTGTCGTTCCTTCTCAGAGACAGCAGGTGGTGCTGACACAACAGTGGGCCGAAGCTTTTCCAGTCATCCACTTCTCTGCGATGCACCCTGGCTGGGTAGATACTCCAGGTACTGACTCATCCAAAGCACCTGAAATCAGTTGAGGGTGCTGGTAATGCTCCTTTTTCTTTGTTTTTATCTGTTTTCAAAAAATAGCAAATAAATCGCACACACAATTTCAAATAATCCAATGTTAACATGAAAGTATTGACAGAGCCCATTTATGCTGTTGTATACTTACTTGTATATGCTTTTTTATATGCATTATTACTTCACTTTAGATCTGAATACTTCTTACCCCACTTGAACCCAAATAACCTCTTAAATAACAATCTGGCTTTATAGCTTAATAAACGTTTACCCAATAGCTGTGATTTTGAGATATGAGGTAAATTAAGTATTTATTATTTCTATATCTTGCCAAATGTTCATGTTTAATTGCTCAAATAATTAGTCGAGTAGAATCTTTTTAAATGCATAAAAACTTCAAACGGAATATTTGTTTTCCCTATTATTATTTTTTATTTCACAATCCTTGAGAACCTGCTTTTAAAACAACCCTTTCACTCTGTTTACCAATCCTTGATGATGTATTAGTCTGTAAATGTTGCTTCCACTTCATTTGAGTAAACACTCATGTCAAAATACATACACATGATTCTTCCTGTTCCAGCTGTTTCTGCATCAATGCCTCAGTTCCACCAGATGATGGGGGAGAGGCTGCGCAGTGTGGAGCAGGGAGCTGACACTGTGCTGTGGCTGGCCGTGTCTAAAGCTGCTGCAAGGACACTCAGTGGGCAGTTCTTTCAAGGTGAGCAGTATCACGTGGGGCTGGTCCTATTTCAACAAAGAGAAGTCCCTTTTATTTTTGTTGAATTCTGACGCACTGTGTGTTGCAGATCGTGCTCCTGTTCCTGCCCACCTGCCTCTGGCCTGGACTCACAGTTCTGCTGAAGAGATCCAGAGCTTCATGACTCAGCTGGAGACTTTGGCCAGAGCCCTTCTACCTGATGTAGAGCATGAGTCCTTCCAGACATCCATCTGTATAAAACCTGTTACTGATCAATTCAAACATCAAGATTAATTTCTGAAAGCCATATATTCAGTACAGTGCAACGCTCTGTCACCGGATTTATGTTATGTCAACATGTGGTAGATGGACTGCGTGCCTCGCAAATATCACTAACTATTAGAAGTTGATTTTGATTGAATATCTCAATAGCATGAGCATATCTAATTTGTACTTGTGGCTAGCACATAGAAAAGCGTAACACTGTTTGTACCGTGGGTGCATCAGATACTCTTCTTTCCCTTTGTGCTGCCACATATGAAGTAAAGATATTTGAAGTGTTACTTAAAGTGGGAAAATAAAGTCCAGTTAATTGTTCTCCTGTTCAAATGTCTTAGTTCTCCCACAAAGCTGAATTTGGCTGAAAATAGTGTACAAAATAAAACATTTAAACAAAGCCGTCAACACTTTTGGAGACAACATTCTGTCAATTATTTTTGGTCTATGCTGCTGACTCCAATTAGGATTCTTATGTAAGAAGCAAATGTAAGGCAGAGCATATCTGTGAAAAACCACAGAGCATCAATACTCATTATTTTTATTTTGTAACAATCCACATTTGCTGTTTTTAATAATTTTATTATTTTTATACAGTATTGAAACAAAAAAATAATGTGGTGCATTCACATTTTCCCAAGGGATTCTTTGCAAGTTTGATCTCTACAAGGGTAAAACAGTGAAAAGCTTGAAGCTGGATCCATCCATGTTAAAACTCACAGGGAATAGGAAGACTGGGCCTGATTTAAAAATCGTCTACAAGTTTTGATGGATTTTATTTCTGCGCCAACATTTAATTCCGCATTTACTGTGTTTTTGTAAGGGAGGAGGAATCAGGTTCCCAGCATTTGTCTTTAAAAGAAACTTCCAGTCCATGCGTAACAACAGTCCAAAGAAAACAAACAAATCCCATCCCCCCCCGTCCAGTCCTCTCATCCACAGTCCATCTTCTATGCAACGTAGGTGTACACTTTGCGATCTTCTGGCGTCCGTGCCAAGTATTCTCTTTCTATTAGTCCTTCTATACGCTTTTTAATTACGACAGGGCTCGGAAGAAAACGTGACCGGAGCTGTTGTGTTACCTGAAGACACAGAGAGACAGCATGTAAGAGAACAGCAGCATCTCAACAGCAAATCAGCTTTTTACATTACAATTCTCTGCAGAACGTGGATGTGCGAAACAGAGAAGATTTACCAATATTGGATTAAATGTGCCGTTTAATATTAAAAGTGTATCCCCATGTGGAGTTCCTTACCTCCGCCACCAGGACATTGTGCTGCATCTTCTTCCTTGACTTCATGATTCGGACAATGGCTGCCTCAATCTCATGCTTCCTGTCATCGTCCACTTTCTGCCGCGTCTCTTTCCTCTCGGGGTCTGATTCTCCTTGTTTAGCAGCAACTGGGAAAATAGGATAGGAAACTTGATGAGCTTCGAGGACAACATGTGGAAAAGGTTTCATATAAGCAGGAACAGTCCCACCTAGAGTTCATGTCACAACATAGCACGTCATTATCTACGTTTCTTAAAAGGCTGAAACAGAAACTATGGTGTTCTTTCACCTGACCTAAAAGCATGTGAACTGCTGTATTCAATGTACCAACACTTTAGTTATTCAAAGCTAAATCATTTCTACTTTGACTTAAAATACAGGATTTTCATCTTTTATCAATGCAGTTGTAATGAGCCATTTATATCTTAAAGGTGGGGTAGGTAATTTTGGAGAAACCAGCTCGAATGCGCTAGAATTTGAAAATACACAGCCGCAAAAAATCTGCCACTTCCTTACAGAGCCCCTCCTCCAACACACACGAACGCGCACATGACCAATGAGGGCACGAGATAAGTTTGTGCACAGATGGAAGGCTGACAGGCAGGTAGGCCATCCAGTTATTTTAGCCGGGCCGGCTAAAATGATTGGTCGTGCTTTTTACAGAGCTAAGGCTTCCACAGATGACATTTTTTTATGGATTTTGTTTCAAAGCACTTCAGATATTCANAGAAATTACAGAATTTTTTTTTTAATTAGCTAATAAAATAAATGGTTGTGTTACACTCATGGTTCGACTTTCGTAGCACACCAAGACAGAAGCTAACTACAGATGTAGTTAGCTTCTGTCTTGGTGTGCTACGAAAGTCGAACCATGAGTGTAACACAACCATTTATTTTATTAGCTAATTAAAAAAAAAATTCTGTAATTTCTTTATTTTACCCACATTTATCGACATTTACTTCTTAAAGCTACAGCACAACTCGTGCTCCAGTACGCCGACAGCAGTGCACTGAGGGATACGGCTCATTAAGAGCAGCGACGCCAACATGCTTTAAGAAAATATTCACACGGTCTTCCCTAGCAGTTGTAAAGAGCAGTTATTGAAGTGTAGATAAAACATTTTATCTACACTTTTTAAAACTGGGATATACCAAAAGAAAAAAGGAACATTTGAAAATCTAAAACATGGCATTATGTTTATAGTCATATTTTACCAAATGTTTTGTTGTTCTATATTCTAGTACACATTCATATATTACCATCGTTTTACAAAGTCTTTCTTGTATATAATTATAGGGCAACTTTAATGTTACCCGATAATTATGATTAATAATAATTATAACAACAATGAAACAAACAATTGGAGGTTTGTCAGTCATTTTGATGGATGAAAAATGAGGTGACATCTCTAACTCTATACTAATTTGCACCACACCTAAGAAAAGCACGTGCACACACATTGTTTGTGCTGCTGTTGTTGGGTGCGGTCTATTTTTCTGATTCTGGTCAGGACACTTAACTCCACTTCACTCGTTGTGGCTAGAGCTGGCACTGACGCAAAAGTGTGAAAGCTGTTGTCAGCCAGGTTTATACAGCTGTCAATAATTTAATCCTGAAGATTTAAGGAGCTGTCACCACCAGTGAATGTAGATTATGTTAACGTGAATGTTTCAGTAAATTGCTCAATCCATCAAACGGATAACTTCATTGGACTCCTTTGTTACATTCGGAACATAGTGACAACACTACAGTTGCAATCTAAATTATTCAATGCACATTTGCAAAATATGCAATTTCTCAGCTGTTTGCAATAAACAAATTAAACAAGAACTGTTTAAGTGGTGCAATGAAACTCATATTACAAGGTTTTTTATCCAAAATCAACACAAAATGCTACTTTTAATGACTACTGTAGTTCCAAAATTATTCAACTCCTTCATGACAAGCATCTTCAGCATCCGTTTGCTGTTATGGCCTGCTGCAAACATGACACCAGCTTCTGACAGCATTCCTGAGGAATCTTAGTCCATTCCTCATGCGGCAATGGCCTCCAGTTCAGTAATAGTCTTGGGTGTGCGTTTTGCAACCGCTCTCTTCAATCCAAACGGAGATTTTCTATGGGGTTCAAGTCAGGCGACTGTGACGACTCTAGAATCTTCCATTCCTTCTTCTGAAAGCAAACAGGTATGCTTGGGACCATTGTCCTGTTCCCCAATGGGCCCAATGACGCCCAAGCTTCAGCTTCCTCAGAGATGGCATGATGTTTTTTCATTATATTTCCTGATACATGACTGAATCCATCGTGCCCTCCACACGCTGCAGGTTTCCAGAGGCAGCAAAGCAGCACCAGAGCATCACTGAGCCACCGCCATGCTTCACTGTAGGCAGGGTGTTCTCATTCTTCTTCCTCCAGACATACCGCTGATCCATACGCCCGAAAAGTTCCAGTTTTGTTTCATTGCTCCCACAGAACAGAACTCCAAATCTTCTGTGGCATATTTATATGGTTTTGAGCATATTGGAGCCGACTTGTGTTGTGCTTTTGGTCAGTAAAGGTGTTCGTCTTCAAGTCCGGGCATGGAGCCTTTCAGTGTTTAGTATCCGAAACTGAAACCTCAGTGCCTGCTGCCACCAAGACTTGCTACTACAGGTTTCTTGATCAAGGGTTTTTGACCACTTGCCTCCTCAGGAATTTGGTGGCAGCCGCTGATAGCTTCCTTTTTCTGCCAGGTCCAGGTAGTGAAGGCATTGTTTCTTTACCTTTTAACTTAGGAACTATGCGTCCATCTGTATAGGAACATTCAGTGCTTTTGCTATCTTTGTGTATCCTTTTCCTTGTTTGTGCAAGGTAATGATCTCTTCTCTGAACTTTTTGGACAATTCTTTTGACTTTCTAACATGCAATCAAACGTAACTCTCAACAAACCCCTAGCCAATCCAGGTATGTATGTGTTTTATCTCAAGCACAGCTGAAGTAATGGAGCCCTTGATTAGTTGCACAAGGTTTGCTTGAATCATCAGGAGACTGCAGTAGTCATTAAAAGTATAATTGTATGTTGAGTTTGTATAACCCTTGTAATATTAGATTAATTGAACTACTTAAACAGTTCTTGAGTAATTGTTATTCGATACTATATAATTATTATTGCAACTTTAGGTAACAGGTGTGTGTGTGTGTGTATGTGTGTGTGTGTGTGTGTGTGTGTGTGTGTGTGTGTGTGTGTGTGTGTGTGTGTGTGTGTGTGTGTGTGTGTGTGCATCAGAATTCTGGAATGTGTTTCTGGAACCACCTGCAGTACCAGGAGCCAGCCCCGGGCAGGGAAGAACTTTACATCTATATCCGTTTCTCTTTATTACATTACATGTCGGTTTTGCCTCCGGGAGCTGGTTGNAATAATTCGCAGCCAGAATCATACCAAAATCATGCACTGGTTTGGTTGGAAGCCCCCTTCAAATAAAGTCATCTCAATCGACTCTCCCGCCCCTCACACCTCTCGCCTTACGTGTTATTCAGATGGTACCAGCTTCTAGGCAACCGGTGGCATGGTTTTGTCCTTCTACATGACTCTATCTGAGGGGGCATACAGGGAATATGTGTTTTTGCCAAATGTTGGTATTGAGTTGAACACTGGTTACACAACAGCTTCAGAGAGCAACAGGTATTCTTATTATCCAAACAAAACCCAATATGCCCATTCCTTAAGTTCCAAACACTAACACAGCAGCTGGCCTTCTGCAGTGTGGCACCCAGCCAGGATCGTTTTTTTGTACACATTCCATTTTAAATATGCTCCTTTCCTCAAATGCAATGCTGCTTCCTAATCCTTTATCTTAATATTGTTCACAGTTCACCTCCTCATCCTTCCCATTGTGTTCAAGCCCCATTCATCCACTCCCTTCCTCCTCGCCTCTCTAATTGGCATTGTTTTCAACCTCCTTTCTCTTGCCCTTTGTCCCTCCCCGCCCACGTCCTCCCTCTCCCCATTTTTCTCCCCCAGTGCCTTCTCCCTGTGGGTCTCCCGTCTCTCCCTCCCCACTCCCTGTCCGGCGGTGCGATGATTCTTGTTCCTGTCCCCGCCTCCCAACCGCTTGCCCCCTCCACTCTTCCCACCCCACAAACCTCACTCCCCCCCCTCCCTGATGCCATAATACCAGCATCAGTGAAAGTCATCGCCCAGACATATCGGGTTGCCTCTCCCCATCCCTCACCCCCCTGCTTTTTTCTCTCTCTCTTCTCTCTTCTCTCTCTCTTCTCTCTCTCTCTTCCTCTCTCTCTCTCTCTCTCTCTCTTCTCTCCTCTCTCTCTCCTCATCTCTCTCTCTCTCTCTCTCTCCTCTTCTCTTCTCCTCTCTCTCTCCTCTCTCTCTCTCTCTCTCTCTCTTCTCTCTCTCTCTCTCTCTCTCTCTCTCTCTCTCTGCTCAAGCTCATTGCCAGACCTCACACATTTTCCCACCTCCACTTTGGCCCTCACATCTTGATAACCCAGCTGGGCAGAGTTGAGGTGTGTGTGCCTGGCATGGAGCAGCCAGTGATACCGAGCGCTGCCAAAGGTCAGGTTGACACTAAAAAAACAAAATCAGCAGGAGTGCACGCAATATGGGGAAACAGAGCTAACCAAAAAAGTAGAGCATCAGATTCACTAACTTTTAATGAGCTGGCTCTCCTTAAATGTGCTGTTAGTATCGTCAGCGGCGGGTGAAATATCTTTCTGTATATCTTCTTGTTTTCAGGGCGTAATTGCTGCTAAAATATGATACGAGTGAAATGCTGAAATCCAATATTGCATTAGTACATCAAGAAAATATGTCTGATGTTTTAACTTTGCTATTTTAACACAACATGATATACTTGGTATATTTAGATGCATTTGAATATGGATTTCAAATTCTTTTAGCATTGTGAGTGTGACAAAATACATTACAAACACAATTGAGGAGCTACATTTCATACAAAAGTGAGGGGTGGAAGAGAAAGAAGGCAGCTTTATTTTTCTATCCTGCCTTCACTATCCACATTTTTTCTAAACTAGCCCCTACTGTACCGTAGTGTGCTTTATATTTCATTAAGACACTCCAGTGTCACATCTCAGTCCCTGGCCTCACTATCACTCTCTCTGGTAATCATTCTCAGTTTTTTCTCGAAGTACCACCCACCTCTCCAGAGTTATGAGGCAGACCAGCTCCTCTCATCCTTGGGTAAACTCCAATATGGCCCTTTGGCTCACACTGGAGTGTGTGTATAAAGCACAAAAAGATACAAGTCTGTGCGCACTTCTGAGTCATAGGTAGACAGGAAGAGGGAGCAAGCAGGGCGCAAGGGAGGGACGAGGGAGAAAGGAAAAGTTGGAATAAAGTGTCAGAAAGTAAAATGAAGGCCATCACATAAACACTTAAACACATACACGCATGCACTCACACACAAATCTCATTTATGCAATCTAAAAGATGTCCTTCACAGTTTCTTGCTGTCTGGTGCTGTTATTGTTTTGTGGTAGAGACACACTGTGTGTGTGTGTGTGTGTGTGTGTGTGTGTGTGTGTGTGTGTGTGTGTGTGTGTGTGTGTGTGTGTGTGTGTGTGTGTGTGTGTGTGTGTGTGCGTCAGAGTCAGTGGGCTAATGAAGGCAGCATGATGCCTCTGACGCACTCTCCAGTCCCATAGGGTTAGATGAAGGGAATAGAGGAGGGGAGGAGTCAGAAGAATCAGTCATCTCTCTACGGTCATATAGCTGCTGTTTAATGTCAAATAAAACGCAGAAACGGAACCATAACGCAGGACTTCAAGCATCTGCGTTTTCTAACATTGCTCTTACATGAAATGTTTGTCGTTTTCAATACGTTTGTTATCAAATACCTACATTTAATATGTACCCATTTTGTTATTGCCTGAAAGCTCTGAAGCCGATTTGGACAGATCAGAATAATTTGTACTAATTACAGCTGAAATAATCAGTCCATTAATAACCTGTCAACTAGAGAGTTATTTTTGTTATGTTGGTAAAGCTTCTCAGATGTGAAAACTGCTTTTTAAATTCCTACTATGATACTAAACAGAATTACTTACGTTTGTTTTGGGAGGGCTGAACCTGGTCACACAAAAAATATTCAAATATATAAACTTGAGCTTTGGGCAAATCTGGACGGACATATTTTCTCTATATTACGTCATGATTCATCATCATCATCAATTACAGTCCCTTTATCTGATCAGGGCCCAATATCTAAGATAAATTGATCATTGTTGTCCTAAGCAATGCAAATAGTGTGGTAAAATGCTGGATTATATCTTATCTAGATGTGTATGGCATCAGGATAGCAGGTGCAGTGAGCAGTTAAGCTTCTTCCTTACATTTCTTTTAAATAATTCACCAATCAGAAACCGAGGTCGACACATTGTGAATAAAAGCAGCCAATGACTGGAAGAAGAGAAATCCTTTGTTTACTAGCGCTGAATGAAGGTTGACTCCGAGGACTGCATGTTCTGTTGGCGTCCTCATACCACAAGTCTTTCACAGACCACACTCACTAAAACACACATGCACAGACACACTCGTTTCCGTTGCCATAGAAACTCAGGATGATTCTAATCAAGCTGCTGATCAAACCAGCCACACGTCGTGCCTCGCTTTGTTTAGTTGTCAAACACACACACCTCTGAAACACACAAGGACAGCAGCAATTACAACACAACTTTTTATTTTCATTACATCGTTTTCAAGGCCAAATTACAAATAAATAAGGAAAGAGACAATTGCAAATAGCCTGGCTCGCAGGGCCACTTAATCACACAAATCAACGAGGAGACCCTCGAAAACTGGTCAGTAACAAAGATTATTAAATATAACAGGAGACTTTACGCCTGTACAATTATTGGTAGTTTGAATGGACTTGAATTCATAGATCCCTTCCCCTCTCAACCTATTTACAATGCAAGTGAAACTAGAGGAGTGGTCTTCCCACCGCCACTTTGTCTTGGCCTTGCTGAAATGGATGTAGCAGGACACAGCATTGCGTGCTATCAACTAAAATGTGGGTAGTGCTTCACATTCTTAAGACCCCTGAAGACAGCTCATGTGTGTCAGAAGGCAACTAGCTGCCTCTAGCCAGGCAGAGGAAAAGCAGCAAACAGCACAGTAAGCTACTGACTTTTCACTAAAATGTCGAGAGAAAGAACTGTAATACAAATCAGGAAGGGAGGAGTGGCTTTCCATTTCATCATGATGGTACTGTAACTTCTGTACATGCTAAAATAACCTTTACGTTGAGCTAGTTGGATAAGAGAACTAGTTAAGAGTACCTGACTGTACATTTGTTAATGCTAAAATTCTTCAGTACAAGCAAAGCAAGACTTGCATTACAAGAGGGCACCTGGGGGATAGACGTCGGCCTTACAAAGGACCGTTGACCAAAAAACTATTTTGTGTTCTACCCATAAATGTGAAGCGAAGAAAGAAAGACTGAAGCGAGGGTGTCACTCGTACTGATGCCATTCAGGTAATTTCACCACCAATCTGAAAACTACAGTATGACATGTATTCAGTATTTTTTACATGAGTTCAAACATGTGGCGGTTGAACCTCTTCATATAAGTTGCAATACAGTGTCATACACATGAACCAATTCGAAGATACTTTGAGGTCTGGTAAGTTTATGCTATTTACTAACAATTAAAAAAGGGAGTGTATTGATAAGGAATTTCTTCAGTTGTTTGACTGGAGCGCTTTCCTCCTCAAATATGTATTCAAGTGCTTTGGTACAGTTGCACACTTTATATTAAGCGGTTTCTACAATGCCCAATAATAAATAGTTCAGTCTGAATAAAGATGATTGCATTATTTAGCACAGTACGTTCAAATGGGCTTCATCTAGACCTCCCTCTCAGTGTGTCTCCACCCCTTTAACCCTTTGCTTGTGTTCCAACATGTCTTTCAATACGAGCAACAGACCTTAACATTCATACACTACGGAGGGGCTGCTGTATGTGCGGTTTTTTTCTTCTTCCTATGTACTCTAGTTTAAATTTGTGTATAAATATTGCACATTCATTTTGTAATTCATATTCATAAGTAAAAAAAGACAAAAGTAACAGTTACTCAATCTATGGAGAAAAAAATATAACATGTACATTTCCGCCAAAAAGTAATTGAAAGAGTAACCCATAAAAGGCTTAATGTAACTATTTTTCTACGCTGGGCTTATTTCCCTCTGAGACATCCATACGGTGCATTGGTCATGACTGGAGGAATACGAGGCAGGGCTTCTTAATGATCAATGAACAGACAATACAGAATAACCATTTAGATACAGGCTGGGAGGTGTCCGGGGGGCGCTTAGGTGGATAGATGAAGCCGTGGGCAAAGAGCAGAGACAGAAAAAGCCCCAATGGATGCGTTTTACAATTTATGTTTGACCCTGCTGCAAAGGGGCCGAGACCAAAAGAGAGACTGAATCGCTTCTACTAGTCAAGTTAGCAAGCACACACTCAAATGTACAAGCTTTGAGACACAGGCAGAAAAAAGGGGCAGGGCAGAAAAGCCAACCAAAAAAGAACCTGGAAACAAAGCCCAATAAAGTACTTTGCGTAAACAAATTGGCAATACAAAACAGGAGGATAGAGAAAAAAAGACCCTTTAGAATATAACCATACAAAATACAGTAAGAAAATAATAAAAAATGTTGATGCTCAATCTCTCATGGCTTTGCAACACCGATTCCTCATACTTAAAAAAATACTCATCAAATGGGGTTTCAAAGCTGACGAACTAAACATGAGAAACGTGTAATGAAGATCCCTGCATATATTCCAACCTGAATGTTACTTAAAGCTCAGGAGAGACTCCTCCATCGCTCTCATGCTACCCTATGTCCCTGCCAGGTATCTGCACTAAGTCCACTACCATACTGAACATGTAGAGCCCTCCAGAGAGCAGGGGAGGAAGAAGAGGAGTAACAGAACGAGCGCACGGATACTGATCCAGATATACGTTTAGCCTGACATTTATTTCACTTCGAGTCATACGGACGTCCGACTTCATGTGCCACCTCGGTTGTCATAGAAACTCAAAGGGGAACGGTGAGTAAGTCGCACCGGCTGGTTCAGCCATCTATAAGGGACCATGAGCCTTTTGGTCTTGAGAGATAGCAAGTAAGCTGGTTTCAAGATTCGTCTCCCTCTTTTGATCGAAGCTGGTCGCAGGGAAGCCGAGGAGGAGATGCATGAGATGCTTTATGTGCCTGTAGTAGAGTGTGTGTGTGTGTGTGTGTGTGTGTGTGTGTGTGTGTGTGTGTGTGTGTGTGTCTAAAGTATAACTGCTCTCCCAATACTCCTTGTAGTGGCTTCTGAGCTCCATGTGTATGTGTACAAGTATATATGTGGATGGGTTGTTTAAAGCATTGTTTTATTTTCCTCCGTACATTCTCTCAATGTCTTCCTGGTAGTGTGATTTCAGCTCCTTGCGTTTCAGTTTGAATGCGTCGGTGACCAACCCAGTCTCCGGGGTCCAGGGCTCAGAACTCAGACGGATCTTCTTGGGGATCTCGAACCGCTCCATTTTCGCTGGTTTGTGGAGAGAGAAGAATCACAAGTCAGTTTGTTACAATGTAACACTACAGCAAGTCTGTCACAAGCCAGACATCATCACACCCCATCTGAACTGTGAAGTTATGATGGAGAGTAACACATCTTTAGTATTGTTGAGAAGGCTTTAATGAGGGCATTTACAGAATGAATATAAGCGAGGAAGACGATTAAAGGCCTTTTGCCCCTACCTGAGAGGGCAGCTTCAGTAATGATGCGAAGAACTTCTTTCTCCATCTGAGAATTGTTGCACATCTCCTCCCATGTGCCTCTCACCTGCACCTGCTCCGCCAGGGCCATGAGCTGCTTGTGGTTAGGCACCACGAAGCTGATCACATACGACTGGTCACTGAAAAAAAGTACAAAAGAGTCCAAAATGTAGTTTTACCACCATTAGGGTCTTATATCTGAAAGGAACAGATTTAAATGGAGTGTGTGCAGGACTTTACCTGTTGGCATAGGCACAGATGTTGTCTATGAGTGAGCAGTTCTTCAAAACAGCCTCCACCTTTCCAAGAGAGACGTACTCGCCTGCCTGTAACTTCACCAGGTCCTTCTTACGGTCTGTTGGAAGACAACCAGGTCACAGTCCTAATCGAACAGATACAAGATGTGCCACACATGCTCTGGTTTGTGGATTTCTTACCAATGATCTTCAGGCATCCGTCAGTGTGAACCTCTCCAATGTCTCCTGTACAGAACCATCTCTGGCCATTCTCATCCACATAAAAGTCCTCACAGTTCTTAGTTTCATTTTTGTAGTATCCCATCGTTACGTTGGGGCCGCCAATCAAAATCTCCCCCCGTGGGTTGGGCTTATCGGTGCTGTAGTATCCACCTAGAGGAGCAAAGGCGTGATTAGAATACCAGTACTTTTTATTGCTTTTCTCACTTTAGTTTTTCTCATATAAAAACATTACAACAACAGCTGTGCACGTACATAACAACCCAAACAAAACAAAAAGATGCAGTTGGGAGTCACATTCTCATTTGACCATTTGTCAGAACAGTTCCTCTAACTCAATCAGTCAGTATTCCTTGTCGCTGGTTTGAATCTTAAACATTGACCATTTCTCTTCATATTGTGTTTCTTGCAGTCCCAGTCGATATGTCATTTTTTCAATTATATGAATTTCCTCCATGATCTCCCATCCACTGTTCCACAGTAGGAGGCTCCACCTTGCACCATTTCCTAGTTATGGCTTTCTTGCCAGCTATCAACAGTATTTTTTAAAGATATCTATCTATGTAGTGAACATTTTCCTCTGTAAAACTGCCCAGATAAAGTATCATGTCGTCCATAGGAACCTCATATTTATTGCTTTCTTTAAAGTTGGGTTATTGGAATTGGACTCACCCTCCTCCCAGTCTTTCAGTTTCATCTCTGAACAAACCAATGGAGCACCAACTCGTCCTGTGCTGTAGTCCCACACTGAAAAGAAAACACCAGCAAAGACTTATGGTAAAAATATAATGATTACAAATCAAGATGTTTTATATTTTTCATTTGCTCTTCTCTTAATTTCCCAAAGGTGGCACAAAAACGACCGCCGTTTCACATAAAATGCAGTCTCTCTTACTCTCGCTGATGGTGCCGGCTCCACAGGTCTCCGTCAGGCCGTAGCCCTGGCCCACCGGGCAGCACAGGCAGATGTTCATGAAGCGCTGTGTGGCAGCAGAGAGGGGGGCTCCGCCTGAGAGCAGGACCCGGGTGTTCCCTCCCAAGAGCGCACGCACCCGTTTGAACACCAGACTGAAGGAGAGCAGGCGGACAAAATGAATACAAAAAAGAGACGAATGAGTGACTGTTGAGGCCAATCAGATTGTTGTATACTACTACGTATATTCCAAAATTGACTTAAACCAGGGGTGTCAAACTCAAGGCCCGGAACCCCATTTTATGTGGCCTGCAAGAGTTTGCAAAGAATATAATATAAAATACAATTGGTGTAATTGTTGAATATTTGCTTTAAATTATTTTCCCTAGACTTCTGCTTTCAGACGTAGTTATTTATGAAGTTATTACCAGAACTGATAATAATCCAATGCAGAGCCAATCATGTAATATAATACATTATTTATTATATATTATATATTTATATATGTATATTGATATAGTCTTAAAGTGCTAATGTAGCCCACAATGAAATTGAGTTTGACACCCCTGACTTAAGCAAAATAATGTCCTCTGCAAACACAGTGTCAGAATCCATTTTATGCCACGATTTACCGAGTTCCCTAACCTACTTTTATGACTAACACTAGGATTCGATTAACCATGTTACTGAGGTTAATGTTTGCTCTTGTTTCACAGGTGTGTCTCTCTCTCAGAACAGGAATGAAATGTTTATTTACCTGTCGCAGAGTGGCGTGCTGTAACCCTTGGAGATCTGCTCCATCTTGTAGTTGTAAGCCAGCGCAAACAGTGTCCTCTGCAGTTTGCTCATCTCCTCCACTTTAGTCATCACATTCTTGTAGATGCGATCCATGATTTCCTACGCACATTAGGCAGGAAAACTCTTTAAAAACACTTATTACAAGCCATATTACTACTAACAATTGATTTTTGGATTGATAAAAACATCTTACTGGTACAGCAGCCATGAGAGTAGGTTTCAGCACACTGGTGTCCCCTTTACTGCCCTTCTTTATCTTGGTAGACTGTAAACAAAACAATCGATCAACTGTCAGTAAGGGAGGTAGATACACTTTAAAATCATGACCAGAGGCAACTGAATGGATTTTTGCCAGAGTAAAAAACGGGATAAAAGTCAGGTAAGATCTTTAAGGACATTATCAAACACCAAATGTTGTGCTAGGATTCAGGGATACATCGTTAAGGAAGTTTAAAAAGGATGAAGTAAAAACATGAACGATCATTTCCAAGGGCATCAGCAAAGGAAACGGTGCATTTCATAATATATGAACGCGGAATGCAACTAACACATTCTGCCCACAAGGTGCATGTGTGTGTTTTTACACTAACCTGGTCAGCTAGAGTCTGGGGGGAGGAGTAGCCGATGCTACAGCCGTGAGAGATGCACACGAGTTCTGCGCTGAGCTCTAAAACATGCGCCAACGGCAGGTAGCCAATATAGGTGTCTGATTCACTGCCGGCGCAGAAATAACAGCAGGTTAATTTCAACAACAAAAGATAGGTGGTGGTGGTATTTGAGTATGACAGGATAGATGTGATCGTGTTTCAGAATCAGTAGAAAGAAGGGGAAGAATGGGAGTTGGGGGAGTTACGTAACACAGGACAAAGAGGACAGGAAGTGATTCTGATATGGACATACTTGAGGTTAGGGATTCGCTCGGCCATGCCAGTAATGCCAGCAATGATGTTGCCATGGGAGACCATGACACCCTTGGGGATGCCTGTGGAGCCGCTGGTGTACATGATGACCGCGATGTCTGAGGACTCTGGCTGACTGCGGTTTACTGCGACTGCACAGGCAGAGGAGCAGAGGGAGATGGTTAGAGAGAACAAGGATCACACATCAATGTAAACATTATTAGTTTAAGAAATGTCTGCTCACTTAAGTAAAGAACAAATGGTACAGTGCAAAAACCATTAAAACACAAAGGGTGTCTATATTTCTTTTGAACCAAAGCTGAACTAAAATGATTTGCAATGAGAGAAAATGATAAATGCAGCTAATCCTCACACTGAGTTTTGGAAATAGTTCTTGTTTTCTAAAATTTGACAAGTATCTTTCAAAAGTTATTATTTCACACATTTATTGTTTGTTTTCTATTTTAATTATCCAAGATTTAAAAAAAATCCACATTGGTTTTCTTTACAAATACTGAAAGAGGAAATTGTAAAAAAAGGTCTCAAGTGATTTTTGTAGCACAAAGTAATTTCTGTTTTCCCTCATTTTCCCTAAAAGGTCAACCAATGATATTGTGGCAATGGGGGTTTGACAAATTGTAATTTAACCTCTAGCTGACTGTCATGCACTGCACGTCACTCCAATTACATATGAGGGTGTCCGCTTTGAATTAATCCTCCATTAGTTGCGCTTCCATTAATTTCCCCGGACGAAATTGAAAACCTTTTTAATCACAAAACACGAATACTCACTATTTTCAGGCTTGGACCCTATCTCCTTCACAGCGTCCATACTGTAGACTGTGATTCCTCTGGGGATGTTTGGCCAGCTTGTGGGTTTACTGTCAACTACAATGATATACTGCAGCCTCGGCACATCACACACTATGGCCTGGGAACGAGAAGTTGGATGTAGGAGGGAGGGATGGAGAAGAGAGGACATTTTAATGATGCAAATGGAACAGAGCTTCTTATCAAGCCCTAATGTTTTACACAATAAACACCCATTAATGAAGTGAACTTTAAGTGAAAACATAGCCTTACCTTGAGACGGCTCTGAAGCAGGTCTTTGCTTGTGATGATGTGCGTGATCTCCGTCTCGTTCAGGCCGTGGGCGATGGCCATGGGTCCGAGAGTGGAATACAGTGTCACAACTGTCAAAATCAAATCCAGTTAAGTTGGTCATTCGTTTCTTACTGTAGGCTCAAGATGGTCTGAATACACATTATGTTTGTCTTTCTGTCACTCACGTTGGAAATTGTACATAAAGCAGGCTTGTGCTACCAACATCCACTCTGCTCTGGTCTCGCAGAAGATGGCGATTTTACACTGCGGCTTCAGGCCGAGTGCTGCCAGACCGCTGCCAAAACACTTCGCTGCCTCGTAGGCTTCCTCGTACGACAGCCAGTTATAGTTCCCTAGAATTACCTGCACACAACATGCAATTGTAAAATGGATTATTAAAGATTATTTCCACACACTACACCACGATACATGAAAACTGTCCTATGTACATACATTCTACAGGACTACACATCTTCAGAGCATCTGTTAGTGGGTCAAATATGAAATAGGACAAAAACAATTCTTAAATGATTTTAAGAACATTTCACTAAAAGTGTCAACAATGATGTGATTAATGTGAGAACTGTATCGCTGTATATAAAAAAGGTAATACTGACACGGCTGAATCTAAAAGAGGTCCGATGTTGTTACCAGTGGCAACATTATCCTTCATGTGCGGTCAGTTAGCGCCATCTGTAGGGCTTTTGTAGCCATGCAGGTGTTAATGAGGAGGCTCTCTGCTTCCACCCACATTCCTCACACTGTGCAGTGTCTGTCAGCCTCGCACACACAAGCAAACTTCCTGTTATCCCACAGATTCACCTAAAGCGTATACAGTTCTAAATGTACATATGATAAGCGTTGTCACCCACTGACTATCTTTCCTCCTGACAACAGACCAATCATTCAAAAGAATACTGAAGGCAGTGTTTCCCCTAGGTTTACTGCTTTGCTGCTTTGGGGGCAGTGCTGCCTGAGCGTGGGGGGCATTTTTTTATTTAAATCTATTGATTAATGCATCAGTGTTTCTTAGGGTAAAAAACACTAAACTCACAACTTAAAATGAAAGTGTTTAGTTTGTTTTTTAACATTTAAAAAAAAATAAATAATAATATATATATTTTTTTAAACACCTTGAATTTCAGGGGGGGCGCGGGGCTCCGTTGGCGGGGCGCAGCACCCCTCCAAGACAATGGTAGGGGAAACACTGGAAGGTGATAGAATTGTTTTATGAAATAATGTGTGTGTCTCACCTTTTTGAAGACCTTGCCGTTCGGCTGGATCTCATCCTCTTCACTGAGCACCTCCCTGGTGCCTAGACAGTCTCTCTGTGGAAACCGACTGGCAGCGTATTTAAACATTTTGTCCAGGGTGCCAACATTGGGGTGCATCCATGCCACCAGCTTGTCTTGACTGTTGGTGGCCCTGTAAGGCCCTAATGGCAGTCCACTAACTGAGCGTGCCTTGATCCGGTTTGCCCGCTCTAGGTTGTTGCTAGCTCCTGAGAGGAAGTACCAGGGTATGAAGGTGATGACCGAGTAGACCCACACCACAGAACGGAAGACTTGCAGCAGCAGCGGGTTCATATCCTCCTTCAACTTCATCTTTGAGGATGAAGATAAATCAAATAAATCAAACTAAACAAGCGGCGTCACACTCTTCCCACACTCTTCTCAGCGCTTGAAGTATTTTGACTTGCTGCGGCTGAAGATTGCAGGCAGTCGTTCGTTTGTGCAGTAAGTCCAAACCTGCAGCACAGAAACACAACATGAAATGATAGAAGTTTAGTCTGGAATACAACATTTAAAAGCACATTTGGATATTTGAGCAGCTGGAAAAGTGTGCAACTGCGTCCCAGTAAATAAATCCTTGCTTCCTATTCTTAGGCCGGCTCTCTGGTACTATCTATTTCACCAAATCTACTGGCAAGCAAGATGCTTTAGCAATTATCATCATCAACAATAATAATCGTGCTAGTTAATAAACTGAATGGCCTCTCCTTTGAAATGTGCAGTGTTTTCATTTCATTACCAATAAACATTGCCTCCATATGCCTCCCCACTAGTTTGCAACTCATACCAACTCAAGACATAATATTACATTCAGCAATACAGCATATGTCATACTTGTGACTGCTCTCATTTCTTTGGCTACACCACAATACACTTTGGCTCTACTGGGACACTGCCCCTACACGTCTGATCCTGAGCATGCTAGAGGTAGCAGCAGTGACTCATTCCTATGATTGAGAAGTCAAGAGTTTACGAAGGAGGTGAGCATAACCTGAGCAGCTAATATAACAGGACTGAGAAGAATCTAACACTGACTGATGAGAGGGGCTGCTCAAACACAAGCTAAAGGAAACAACTGAGGAATGACTCTGTAATTCTACATGTTTAGCAGCACAAGAACATTTAGGGACGCTCCTGTCTAGATAACAAATAGTTTTCCTTTAAACGTGGCTCACAGCAAGGACTGTGAGACCATGGCCAGGATAATATTACACTGCAAGGTACAATCTCTTCCTACACAACAATAGTCATTCTCTGTACAGAGTTCGTTATAAATGCAAAGCAGAATATTTATGTGTAAGTGTGTGCACACGCATGCTACTTTCTCATGAGAAAAAACAATAATTTCAAAGTGAGTATATTGGCACATCTATTAGCAACGTGTGTATACATATAATGCTGCTAGGTGAAGGAAACAACATTCTGTTTCTGTTGATCTAGTGCAGGGTTTTAAAGGAGGCAAACAGCAACGGCCTATACTAGAGTATAATTCTAAATACACATTTTATAAATTGTGTCACAGGTGAACGTTGAACTTGTCTCGCCTGTTTTGCAGGGAGACACATACCTCAACCAACTGACACTTTAATTTAATTTTATATTTGGGCACATCAGGAAGGTGAAAGCTCCCTTTGTTTCATGTAACACTGGTTCATTCATCGGGTGCTTTACTTTGATTTAGGTCGACACACCTGCTCCTACTTACTTTTCCAACAAGAGTGTGGCACATGATCAGATCGTCTAATTTAATGAGGATAGAAATTATTTAACATGGTCCACAGTTATGATTACAGGGCAGATATTCTGCTTCACATTCACAACTTTCATAATAAAAAATATCATCAGGACTGTAATGCCAGGCCATCTTTCCATCTTTCTTTGTCATGCCACAAAGCCAAAGGCCTACAAACAGGTTCTGATCAAAGCAGACTTAAATAAACAAACACGTTGCCAATGCTTAAATGTTTGGTATGTAAAGTACTCCATCAACATGCTTGACACTAGAGATTTACACCACAGATGTCAGCAGACTTGCAGCTTAACTAAAGTATCAATAATGATTTTATCGAGCTTTAATCTGATAATGAAGATATTTTATCGAGAGTTATAGTATAAAAACAACGTGAGGAGGTTAAATGATAAACCTTTCCCCTTTATGATTTACATCTGCCAATCGTTACCTGCCTTTTTCTCCAACTTATCAATGAATTCGATATTGCGTCACATTTTAATTTTCAACAGGCTGTATATTATGTTTTAGCTTAACTATGATTAACGTTGTTTATATGTATTTATCTGTTATTATCAATAGTCTTTTGATTCGTGTGTCGATATCATGAATATTAGATAAGATAATAACACATCACTGTCATGATAACCTATACACAATTATAGATATGATGTGTGATGTTATCAAAGCATAACCTGGCACGGTGGTTGTTTTCATTCTAATCTAATAAACAAGACATTTGTATTACTCCGCAGTGTGCGTCTCTGAAGCTACAAGGCTAACGACGCAGCATCAAGCTTAGCAGCTAGCATGTAGCTCAAAGACGAGCTAGTATTTAGCATTTCAGCTAACCACTGCAGTTGTTGTTAGCCCGCTGCTGATATAGTTTGTTAGTTTGTTTAACAAAATTCAGTTGAGAATCAAACGGGAGCACACACATCGTATTGTACACAATTACATGGCACATTGTAGGCGATGTGTTGAGCAAACCGGTTGCTAACCATCAGTCTCATCAACATCAGCAGTTCACAACCATACATTCTCACCTCTTTTCCAGCCGCTACGCCTGAGTCGCTGCAGGGTTGAATCAAGTCTCTTTATCGTTGTAACCAAAGCTCTGACATCATATTGGCATAATCTATAAACAATATGTGTTTGGGTATGAATCACATCTACTAACCTGTCATTAAACGATTGAAAAATGTAGTGAAATTATAAATTTGAGCATCACCGGGCCAGTGCTGCCAGCCCGGAAGCTTCTGAGTGATGTCAGGACATTACTCCACAGCGATTGGAGCACTGGAGGTGGCGCGTGCTTGGGGTAGCGGGACGTCAGCGAGGTTACTAGCGGTCACAACTGTGGCCAGCGTCAGTCGTCGGCACACTGTGACCCGGGATATACCCGGTCCCAACGGGTCAATTCGACCTGTCACCGTGAACAGGTTTGACTTTGCTCCAGTGTTAATGCACCCTGAATCCCAAAGATCGAGAAAAACCTAAAGGTGTGTGTACACACCAGACATAGAAAGGCGCACATGGTAGAGGGAATTGAAACTGAATGGTGGGCTTTACAGGAACGTATATTTCAGAGTCTAGACCACAGACTGTGCGAACAGTCACCAGCGTATTCTTCTAGTTACCTCTCATGTATGAAAAATTGATTTAATAATTTTTTGGGCAAAATCAAACAAGCGAAACTCCTTTTTCTTCTGTTAGTGCCAGTAGCCCCACCATGACTCCTCGTGACTAAGGCTATGGCCTATAGACTTAAAGTGGACCTCCTACATAACCACCATGCAAAAATCCCCTAAAGTGGCATATGTAGCCTACAAAGGAAAATAAAGGGGGGCCCAGTGGTTTGCTTCCAGTTCCATTCTAAAACAAACTAAATAGTCAATACGCAACATTCTGGTATAGTGTTTTCTAAACATTTCCATAACGTTGCTATCCTAACATAGGCCTACTGCAGGATTTAAATTAAAAACATGAAAGAATAAACTAAAGTTAAGTGTTAACTTGTATGTAGTTATCATATCCATGTATAGCCTATTCAACATAAGAATAACACTGCAGGACAACTGATAAACTGTAGGCCTACCTGTATAAAAAATCGTAGCCTATTTACAAAGGAAGTTTGTGTAAAATTAGCAATTGGATGGATTTTAAGATCCCTTAGTCAAACCCTTTGGTAAAGATGTAAGCAAACCGTCCTCTGACTGCTGACAGTCTGATAAACTGAGGAAGAATATTTGAGTGAAGGACTGTCGGACACCCATAAAACTGACGTCATGATCGTGTTCACAGCAACATTAGCAGACACTGACAGTGAATTTCAACATAATGTACAATGATTATTAGACTGAAAAGGTTTTTTATGGTTACTATTATTTTTGTTTTACACTGTTAGCCTACTGTTTAATACTATTCATAAGGGATCTCACTGTTAGTATTTTATAATTTAATTCATCCAACGCTCAATTTGAAATTGCAGCCTTGTTATAGTAAATGCAGATTTATATTTTAAAAGGTATTCAACTCATATTATAATATGGTTATGCTGGCTGTGATGTTGTAATTATTCAGTTATTTATGAAGTAGACCTTGATTATTGTGCTACATGGCTTCCTAAATCACAATATAAATAAATATGCAGCAACAATAATCAATAATTTCCGGGATAATGTTTTTGATGCAAACCATTTTTATTTGGTTTTATCGACATTTTAGATGGAACAAATGTGTTATTGCTTTCCCTCTGCCATTTAAACGTTCTTTCATGTTCTTACAAACTTCCAGTTAACATTGTTGATTTTAATGTGTGCTTTCATTTTGGAGAAAATGCTGGAGGGGGGGGTTCTCAATGAGGGCGGAGTTAAATGTATAACCCCGCCCTCGTTAAAGTGACACCCCCTTTATTTCTCACTTCAATCAGAAGGTATTTCAAGTCAAGTACTTGGCCCCGTTGGGAACTGTTGGGGAAATATTTTCCAAGGTCCATAACTTTGACCCAGTTTATCAGTTCAAACTGTCCTGACTGAGCACACGCACTGTAACCTTGGCTGCTGTGCTCTCAGTGTTTTGTCTCCCTGTTCCTGCCTGTTGGCGTCAGCTGATAGAGGTGTTATGATTCTATCTTGTTATGCAGCATGTTGATTATTCTCTCTGAACTAGCTAAATACATGGGTCTGGGGTAGAGTTCTTCAGATTTGACGTGGCAACTCTACCGTGAAGTCAGAACCTCTGGCTCTTGGACTTGTTTTTTTAATTCTCCGGCCGAAGCTCCTAAATAAACCATCAGTGTTTGACATCAAAGCTATTGCTCTTCCCGTGTCTACTTCATGAGTCGGTGACTCCCACTGCATTGCTACACAGAAGTTTCCCCCACATGAACCACTGGTTTATAGAATAAAGCAAGCTCCAACCTTATGCAAACAACAGATGTGACAATGGTGATATTGTATTCTACTATACGAGGTCCAATTGTATCCAAGACATTCAGTCAGATATAGGCCTTCTTTTAGAAATCTTTGTTATTCCAGTTTCTCACTCAAGGCAACACCACATTAATGGTAGCTGTATGCATAATTCATAATTTATTCACTACATGCAGTATGTTGCCATTGCAAAAATAATGTTGTTCATTTTCATCCTTTTTACCCGGAATACCTAACTAAGATTGACAGCGTTGGGCATTTTTCACCATAATAAACATTATAAAAACAGTTGTGGTCCTTAATGAGACTTATTGATAAGAGGTGCTTGCAATACTGTGAGTTGTTTGTGAAGTATTGGAACGTTTTGAGTAACAATGCGGTAACAGTTTCCTTTCCTCCTAGCTGTCTCTGTCACTTCTATTTTTGGCTCCTGGCTCGTTGTACTTCTCCCTCAGCTTGTCTCATTTGACCTTGTTTCTTTATCAGTCTAGTTCTGTCCTCTCATTTGTTCAAATCAGAAGAAGGATGACAAAGAAGAAGAGAGATCCAGAAGAGGGAAATGGAAGTAGAGTAAATGGAGAAGGGGCTATAATTGAGGAACCTGGGGGTGGATAATCATTGAACCATTTGAACTTCAGCCAACAAAACTATAAAGATTACAGTTAACCCCCTAAACAAAACATAAAAAACACATAGTCTGATTTTTTTCTTTACTGCGATCATCTGACAGGCACCATCCCTGATAGAGCCATCTGCAACACAGTGTGGATTAGTCATACTGTTACTGTTGAAAATCAATATATTCTGGTCCCATGACAGTACTGGTGGCTATTTAAAAAATATGTCATTGGGCAGAATGCACCAAAGTCACTCAACTACAAATATATTTTGGGTCACTGTACTGGCAACTGTTGTTCTTTCACCATTTTGATACAAAGTTTGTATGTAGTTTGTAATAACTCTACTGTGTAACGAAACCATGAACGAAACTAGATGATTCCAGATACAGAGAGAGGAGGTTATTTTTTCTCTACTGTAATCTCACATGTTTACACTAGAGGGAGTTGGTGCACATTTTATTCATTTTTTTAACTGCATTTTTTTATAATCTGATTTGTTTCACGTTGACAGAGAGAAGATCCAAGAGTTCAAGACAGAGGAGAGTCTTCTTTAACATCTGAAGAGCCACATAATGGAAGTGAAATAGCTAGGTAAGCCATGTTTGACACATTGACCCTAAACCTTGATCCCTTCTCACTGGTCTCTGGTGTGTTTGCATGCTTGTTAGGCATATGTCTGTGCAGTCATAATCTGACAAAAACATGCACTCAAAACACAAGTTCATGCCTTTTTCTCTTCATAAACCCACACCATTCTCTCAACATGTGATCACATGACGAGATAGAGTGCGTACAGAGTGGTGATAATCGCTCTCCTCAGGCTATGTCTGAGGTCATCTTGATGGGACACAAACCATCAGAGGGCAGATGTCATGAGCAAAAGGAACACTTTCATCTCCTCTGTGAAATCCGTGTGTCCAATCTGATAACGACACACTTTGCTCACACTTGAAGGAAAGACACAGGAAGAAAAGAAATGTATCCTGGAACTGTCTGTCTCTGTGTGACCCTTTTTTTTCTTGACAGCATGCACAGTGGCTAATGGCTGTTCCCTTAGTGTCATGTGACTTGTTAGAGTATTCACTTAATGATAAGCTTCTTTTAAGTTCTTGCTGCTCTCAACAAGACTTCCATGCACAGTAAAGACCAACATTATAAGACTTAAAGTTCCCCTATTATACCGTTTTTCATCAATATTATAGGTATTATAGGTCTCAGATATATACAAAACATGTCTCTGAAGTGTTTGGCTCGAAATACTAAACAGATCACCCATTGTAGCATTCTATAAACCCCTCTGTTTCAGCCCTGTTTCAAAAGTGCTGATTCTCTGTCTTTTACTTTAGATGAAAATAAGGAGCCACTCCCAACGCTCCTCTGAGAGATATTTGGTTAAAAAGAACGCAACGGTGCTCTAGGAGGATATTCAGGTGATAAGGTGGGGGGTGTTACCTTGGTTGGTTATTGGCTAATGGTTACATGAGCCAAAACATCGTTATGACATCATAAAGTGGCAAAAATCTTATCAGCTCATTTTCAGACAGGTTTTTATATAAATGGATCAGGACAAAAAGTGGGCAAATATTTTTTCTTGAAACTTTCAGAATCTCTTTACACAGAGGGGACACATGTTTATGTAGAAAAGACATGAACAAGTGGATTTTGCACAATAGGTGACCTTTAAATAAAATAGTAATGTTGTTACAAGAGGTGTATCACTGTTATATTCCAATCTTTTCAAAGTAAAACAACGAAAAAACCAATACGTTTTGACCCCCTGGCTGATTATGAAGCCCCTTGGCGTCCAGTTGGATTTATAGGGAAAAGGAGAGGGGGGGTCTGTGTGGGGATTAGAGAACAAAAGGTTCCTTCTCTGTCATCAAAGAGGATCTGCTCAAAACTCATCCCCTGCTCTGTAGCGACAGCTTCTTATTTTGGGGAGAGGGAGTGATGGCTGGAGGGAGGTTTGGCTAAAGCGGGAGAGTTTGATGGCAGGGGATGCAGATTTCAAAGTAATCTTTAACTTTAAGCCCTGCAGTCCCTGTGAAATGAAGCCCTTTGCTCCAGACTCAGTGTTGCCTATGGCTCCCAGTGGAAACCTGCCACCCCTCCTTTTTTCTCAAGCTTTTGTCACGGTGGCATTTAAGTGGCATTACTCACCGACTGGATGACCAAGTGAAGGAGTCCCTTTGAGAGATCTGAAAGAGAAGGATTTTTACTCCCGAGACCAGTGTCGCCTCTTAAAACAACACTAAGTGGAGATAAATACCTACTGTGTTTTTGTGATACAGCTAAACTAAATGGAGACATCTTGTTAAATCATAACCAATCTTATAATAACACAAACCAAGCAAATTGACAGCAGGATAAACACTATTATACTTTTTTCTTATAGGAAATAATGGGTGATAAGAGCATCTGTTTTAGTCCTATTATTATAAAAGAGATCGACAGAAAATAAAGTAGCAATTATTTTCATCCCACACTTGCCTGTAACCCAAAACCTTTGAGAGTGATCTGGGCGTGGACCAAGTCGTTAGTGGAGTTTGTATGTTCTTGCTGTTTATATGACTATAAAAGCAAACTTAAGACCATCATATGATTTAGGACCCCTAGGAGGTCATCTGCATCTATTGTTTAAATACTTTACAACACTACTTATTTTGGCCCCATACCCCAAAGTTATTTCTCTCATCTTGTGAAGCCTCATGTCCCCTCAGGGTCTTTGGCCCAGGATCCCCTGCTGATCTGCTCCTCTGCAGGGAGTCAGTGTAATCACATAGAGGCAGTTATGGGGTTAGCAGGTTCTGTCATTGGCACTATAGGTCATGTTATTAATAATGCTGGTGGCGCAATGACATTATAATAAATCAGTTACATAGCAACACGTTGACACCAACGTACAGTACATGCTTGTACAGAAGCTTCCAAGCACCCTATATTAAGTCTGTTGTGTAAATAATGTTAGTGCAGGGAAACAAGTGGGAGGAGATGAGCAAGACAGTGTCTGCTAATGTTGCCATTAGCAAGACAAGTCAAAGTGCTCTTACTGTGATTTTAAGCCTTTAGCATAAGCATTTGCACATGATCACAGTTGCATTTTACTGAAACCAGCAAGAACTTAAGGCTAATGGGCATTTCCTTAAATGGGGTCCAAATAACAAATATTGAGGTTCATCAAAGGTGCATCCTGTGAATGGAAAGCTGTAAGAAGCCAGAGAATCTTACAGTTTTTCTCGATTGCTATAACACACTAAAATGCTACATAAAGCACAATTATTTTAACTGACACTCAAAGAGCAAAACATCGGCTCATATCTCCAAAACTCTAAACACGTTTTCAGCTTTTCACACAATTTGCAAATCAACATGGCACGTTTTTGCAAACCACTGCACACGTTTCTCCACGTAAGACACAGGAATCTGACATAAAGTCACGTGTTAGCAGGTTTAAAACACTGATATTCAAAATGCCTCACACATGGACCAATGATCAAGAAACACATTCCACCTGACCAAGCACCTGATAGCATAATTGTTGGCTCATCAATCAGGATGTTAGCACTATAAAAAGACCACAGGTGAGTACTTTCTTACAGCAACAATGGACGCCAACATGGAAGCAAGAGCAAGAGGAAGAGGAAGAGGAAGAGCTGGAGGGAGAGGACATTCAGAGGGTTCAGCCTAATCTATGCCGATTTACTGTTGCCTCTGTAATCCGGACACTTAGACTTGAAAACAGGTTAGTTACCAGTTTTTAGCTCTGCATAATTCATGATATATCAGTGCTTATATCTGTTGTGTGAAACGTATTTACTTCATTACTGTAATTGAATTGTTGGTATGTTGCATACTATAACTGTCCAAAATTCTGCACAATGTACTGTGGTATACTTACTTTTATGCAACACAGACACTGACCAACCATTATATCTTTGTTGTTTATCTGAAGGACTGAGAAACAAAGAGGTGTAGGTGGAAGGCTAAGGATTTCCAATGAGGCACAGGAAGCAGCAGTTACAAACTGGGTTTTGGCAAACAATGCATCACACTTAGAGAGATCAGAAGCATAGTAACTATGTGCTGAGATGCATGTTGCACAATGTTATCTTTGAATAAAATGTGATTTTTTTCAACAACTCATTTGTATTTCTTCATTTACTGTATTTCTTTATACTCAAGCAATCTTTCTCTGCAGAAACCTCTATGTACAGAGCATAGCCCATAAAAGATGGAAGTGCTTTAGATGATGCTCAGCAGTGTGTAGTTGGGTGGTCAAACAATCTAGTATTATGAATGAAGTTATATTTGGTACAAAAGTTTACATTTGGTAAGTGTTTATGTAGTTTTGAGTGCAGTTCTTCATTTAGCAGGAGAAATTAGGTGTTTTGCACTTTGGGTGTGTGGTTTTGTGAATTGTGTTTAGTGTTCTGAGAAACTGAGCAATTAAAAAAAGAAATTGTGTTAGCAATCGAGAAAAACTGTAACACATAACATCCAAATTATTGTATTGTATTGTACTTTTACTCTGTATTAGTAGATACTGTAGTATTGCTTATTTAATGATGCTCATACAATCCGTTAGAGTCAAAATAGGTATTGTTTTGTAAGAGACATCATTTATAAATTAATTACAAAAAGCACATGTACCTTATAACTTTAACAATAACTCAAGCCCCAGTAAATCAAGAGAGTGTGACCGTGAACCAGCATGCACAACACCATAACCCTGAAACACAAGCAGCTAAATGGAATCCAGCCAACAATCATTTTCATTTTAACACTTATCCTTTTCCAAATTCAAGTCATTCATCCTTCACAAACACTGAAGCATCTATATATCATACTAAGCACACTGAAATAAATAAACACATTTACCTTTAATTATACTAATCTGGCTATTGTATCCAGATTCGCAGCCAGATGATTACATCACATTAAGTGAGGAAACTGCTGGCTTCAGTTTCAGGTCTGTACTTCAACATGCACATTAACCAAGTGAGGATGAGTGAAAACGGGGCTAGGACACTGGCAACAAACAGACAGATAGGGCCGACGGGCCACGACGTGTGATTGAAGTTATGCACAAAGATGAGCCCCAGAAATAAGAGCACCACCATGGACATGAAAGAAAAGATGGCGCACACGCAGCCGGTCATGAACGCAACTTCTTTGCAAGTCTGACAGCTGGCGTTGCTCTCCTGGGCGGTGGCTGAATACGCGGCTGAAACTGTCTGGACATCTGTGAAGGATGAGTCCAAGGGCTCGTGATTTTTATGCGGGAGCGACTGAGTCAACGCACTGTTGTCGGGGAGGTTGTGCACACGGTACTCCGGCACCGGAGTTCGGTGGCGACACACGGGGCAGCCGATTCTCCATCCACGACCCCCACGGAGGTGCAGAGCGTCAAGGCACTCATGGCAGAAGGTGTGGGAGCAGGCCAGCAGTTTGGGAGTGTGGCGGCCCAGGTCGAAGTAGTTGTAGCATATTGTGCACTCGTATTCCTCGCTAGGGAACGAGTCGGTCACGTCAGGCGGAGCTGAGCCACACTCACCTCCTGTAACGACCGCCTCCGCCATGTTCCCGTAGAATAGGGCTACCGAAACAGTATTATTTCACGAAGATACATTTTCAATTAACAAGCACAATCATATTGTGCAGTATTTCCTGGTTGGAAGATGGCCGTATTTCGATACAACGTTTTAATGTGAGAAATATTATCTCTGCATCACTGCATGTCCTATGAGTCAGTCCAGTCGTCTGTCGTTGGTCTACCCGGTTGTGTCCAAGTCTGATCACAGACTTGTTGCGTAACCGGCCCGGGGCACAACCCGTGGACAGGGACAGACTATGGGACTCATTGGGATCATATTACCAGAACTAAACACTGTTTACCATAAAATCATCCAGGCGGCAAACGTGTTCAAATTGACTTTCCAATATGGTCTGTGTCACCTGGTTCATTTGTCACAAGTGTGGGTCATGTGTAAGGTGGATTAAATAGCCCTATTTAACCGTATAATTAGAATGTAGTGCCTGCAGCGACAATAGACAGCACCACCTTTCGTTTGTCCCGTAGGCATTTCAGAACCACATGCAGTGGACAGCGCCGAGTAGTGCAATCAGCAGTGACACCCTGAGCTGCAGCGAAATATTCTAGAAATAAGTCTGTGTTTGAAGTGTTGTTATTTAACTTTCAAGATGAAGGACATCATATTTGCCAATGGTCTTTTGCTGTCCCAAATGCTGCCCCATTTTCTCCACACTTTAAAACTCCCTGTCTTTACAACCACTCATTATGACCAGTTAAAACTTGATTTTGAATCTAAAAACACTATCTGACCACCATATACGCATACTTTTTTTATGTCAAAAATATTGATGACATTTTTCAAGATGGATTAAACCCTGCAGGCTCAGGTTGCCCACCTTGACCCAGATACACCTGTATATCACTTTTGAATGACTGTACAAAGTGTTGACAACCCCTGCAGCATCCATACCAAACAACTGCCAAATGTCATCATGGTTTCATGGTCCATAGAAATGCACTTGGAAATGAAAGCAGGAATAATTTTATAAATGGATTCCCCTGCTGGAAAATCAATTCATTTGGGGGATTGAATGTCAAATAGTGTTAACTCTTCTCGTCCGACTTGTTTTAAAACCTTGTCTGGTTAACAGAAATTATATTGTACAGCCTAATTTATATTTGATAAAAAAATATCAACTGCTGTAATTTCATCACCTCGCCACACTTGATAGCACACAGTGAGATCTATATAAAGTGAAGTTGTGTCTTTCAAGATTTTTTAGAATAGATACATGTCCCTGTAAAATTATGTTAGTGGGTCTCATGGTGTCAGACGGAACTTGGAACTATGGTATTTCTCCGAGAACATGTGCCCTCTTGTGGATGAATGTATGCATGCATGTTTGTGCAAAAAGAATAGAGGCCTGCTAAGTAGCATATTGTGTCTAACTGGATTACAGTCTCATACAATTACATGCAATAATGACATTTAACATTGTAGTAACTGTAATGAGTTACAGTTATTTAAAGCAGTAATCCGATTAATAATACTTTTGAAAGTACTTGTTCAATTAGACCTGCTTTAAAGCATGTTAGGATTATCAAAAGAGAATAGGTGTGATAGAAGACAAGTTCTCATACATTAATCATGGTATTAATGATTGTTGTTGTTTTACTATGCAAATATGTACGTTTCAGTAAAATAATGTTAAATATAGTCCAGAAATGTTTACATGAAAGAAGTAAAATAATGTGAAAACAGTACAGTTTGCATAGAACCCAATTATGTTCTAAAAACAAAATTTATATGACATAAAATGTTGGATCCCTGCATGTTGCGCGATGGCAAACTGCAAAGCATTGAAAGCAAAGGGCAGCCTTGTGTTTGACATGTTTTGGTCATGTCCAAGCAAAAGTAATGTGCATAATATACAGCCAATTGAAAATCACCTATCATACAATATGTTTCACAGTTGCAAATTGACTCACAACATAACCTTGTACTGGATTATGTCATAATCTAAAATATATTATTGCTTTATATCAGGATGCATCCAGTTTCTTTGGGGAAGTGTGAAATCCACTTCATGGGGCATGTCACAACACAAGATACAATGTCTTCGTTGCCTCTCTCTCTCTCTCACACACACACACACACACACACACACACACACACACACACACACACACACACACACACACACACACACACACACACACACACACACACATGCTGAAACAGAGCCGTATAACGTAGGAAAGATAAGAATCTTATAGTATCTCTGTATGCTCATCATGGCACCATAAACTAGAGACTCACTATTTTCCATCCTCGCTTGCGGAACTATTAAAGTAATCCTACTTCCCCAGAGGCTGTATATTAACAAATGCTCTCCTTCTCTTTTCTCTCTCTCACCTGGGTGCACCTTTTGGCTCTTTGTTATGATAACCGCACTCAGTTTGACTTCCCACTGAATTGTTGTGGGCTGTATGTATTTGATAAGATCAAACACATGGGAAAAACAGTGCCTCTTTTGGAGGTACCTTGTAACAGAAACATCCTAAGGATAGTGGATTTCCTTCTTCTGCAGATGCAATGTTTTCTGAGATGCTTATCTAGATGTCGGCCTGGCCATTCTTCTAATCTGTTTCTCATACTTCACACAATGTCTGCTCTGTAGTCTTTGTGATGCAAAGCTCTTTTGAATTGTCACTGAACTGCTGCAGGCTCATAAAGACAACACATCAAACATAAATGATGATATATCACAAACACTAAAACTATAACATCAGATGCGATCCAATTCATTTTAAAGGGGAATTATAACCGCACTTCATGGTCATTTCTATCCAATGTTAACATAGGACATAGTGTGTTGCCTCAAATTAGAATTGAATGCAGAAATCATTTACATTAAAATAAATAATGGAAAACCATATAACTGTGGACTTTATTTCAACTAATACATTATTACCACATCTTTAGTTTAGGAGCTGTGTCTGCATGCCATGTGACCAAAAAATATTCAAGCACCTTTTAAAAATAAGTAGATCTGTATTTAGAATATTGCATAGAGAAACTGGAATAAGTAATCAAACTCTTTGTCGAATCCTCAACTATAATTAGACCATTGTGGGTGAGAACTAGAGACATTATAGCGCATTATTCAAAATTCCCTCACAGCAGTTGCATGATTCTCTGAAGACTAATAAAGGTTAGGCACACGCTGTTTTACAACTAGCTGTTATTTTAACGTACTAAAACCTCTATAAAAACCCAATGAATAATGCAAATCAGGGTTATCCACTCAAGGTATCTGTCTTTCTGCTTGTGACAGTAGGCTAGAGCTAGTGTGTCAACTGTGTGTCTGTTACATGAAGGAATGCATGACTGACTATTTTAATTGTGAGAATGAATTGAAGCTTCTTCATTTAGAAGTTTAATCACTGTGATGGTCTGATTCATTTTTATCTATTTTTGATCTGATGGTTAATCATGAAGACTGAGCAGTATTGTAAGTTCCTCTGGAGAGAATGGAGATGTTTCCAGTGCTCTAAATAGGCCTTAGTCTGACGCACTGTAGGAACTTATCGCTATGGCCTCAGCCAAGATCAAAACTGCCTATGGGTTATCGGGCTATTTGACTAACGTTATCTTTATTGGATGCATAGTTATTCTGGGATTTCTATGTGTACAATTTCCGAAAAATACAGCCTCGAAAGCCCATGGCCCTATCCTGTGCGTGGGCCTAGTAATTTTAACACACTATTTATTTTCGGGGCCATTTTGTTCCTTTATTTTTTATGCATTTTGTTCACCACCACTGCACATTTCTGCTCAGCTTACCCCCACTAATTGATTTGACATGGTAGATCCAATATCCTTTTCATGATAGTCAAACTTTAGTATGATAACTTTCTTTCCCCCTCTCAATTCTTTCTTTTATGGACATATAATGTTTCCACATGTTCCAGGTCCACTACACAATATTTTCACTAAGTCTTACAGGAGGAATACAAAGTACACTAAGCAACATGCTGTGGGATACTGCACTGAAAGGAGCAAAAGGGTGACTATAACGTTAGGTTAATAGTAACAATAATTTCAAAAAAGTTCAACAAATCTTATGTTACAACTCTTATCCCCCATGGGAAAATGCTTTTTTTTTAATTACTTTTTTACTGTCACAACAGAAGCACCAAACAACTGGTTTTTCTTATTCATATTTTCACTTAAGGCCGCATTCATTCTCTACATAAGGTTGTGACAATATTTTTTCTTGATCATTGTTATGTTTAGACAACAATATCTTAAGGTGATCAATTAATTGCCTGCCAGAATGATGCATCAGTTTGTCTAAAGAGGTCATGACCGACCAGTCACTCATGGTGCAGGTTGTGGAGGCCTCTAAACAGAATCAGGCAGTATTATGGTCTTATTCCTGGGGGGAAAGGAATAAAATGTATCGGTCTATTAAACACGCCTAATTATCATAATTATCACAACTCTACAAGCTTCAGAAAAGTCAAATGATCCCTCATGTGGTTCTATGTCTATAATCGACCATTTGCACGGATGTGTTACAGCGCCGTGTGGCTGAGCCACGGGTCCGCGCAGCACCTATTGTTGCATTCAAACAACTATCAGAAGACTGTGCAGAGCTTTTGCGTGGGGTGTGGTGGAACTCGTGAAAAAAATAGATCCTCCTTTGCACGCTGGGAATCCCCCGCATCCACACAATATTTCTCTCCTGGACTCCATTGTGAGTGCTGTCTGTCTTCAGTAGCGAAAACCTTATTACGTCCTTTATCTTGGTGATTAAATAAAAATGAGCCAGTTCTACTTTTCAAAGTTTTTATTCCCCAAATGTATTTTTTGGCATAAAATAAAAATAACATCGTATGCAAATCAATTATAAAAACTGAAAGAGTTCGCATCATAAACCCCGTGTTATTAGTGGCGTATCTATTTACAAAGTGACACAATACAAAGCTTTTGAGAAAAGAGTAATAGACTGATGCACCATGTGGACTCCTTTGGGTGCAGAATCTCATTTGTTGCAATTAAAACAAAGTGGTGTTGGCTTCTAATGATCACAATGTAATGTTAATTATTATTATTAATAATAATACTAATAACAAACAACATGACATACTTTGTTCCTTTCAAATAATTGTTAAGTGCTGTCTTTATAATATTCCCTGTTTAAGTTATTATAATAGGTCGATGGCTAACATTTTCCCACGTGCT